GTATGAATTATTTAGGGCGCGCTCATGCATATTCATGAGGTGCCGGGTCTGCGTCTCGCATGGATTGTGCCGCGGTCTTCCCGGGGCTTTGGCAACGGGGACACGCTCGTCCCAGCCTGAGCAGGGGACGCTTGTTTCTGTTGGCCTGGGAGCAACAGGGATGGCGTTGGGAGGGCCAGGGGTTTTGGGGGAGCCCGGGATGGCGGCCTCACGACGCCCCCCGACCCCACCTGCAGGAGTGCGCGGGGGAGCCCCTGTTCATGCTGTACTGCGCCATCAAGCAGCAGATGGAGAAGGGCCCCATCGACGCCATCACGGGCGAGGCGCGCTACTCCCTGAGCGAGGACAAGCTCATCCGCCAGCAGATCGACTACAAGACCCTGGTGAGGGCCACCCCGCCTGTCCCTGTCGCCGCTCCACGCGCGCCCCAGAGCCCGTCCTGGCTCCGCCCAGGGGAGCCGGGCTGACACAGGCTGATGTCCCCCCCGGGCCGCCCTCCCCTGCAGACCCTGAACTGCGTGAACCCCGAGAACGAGAACGCGCCCGAGGTGCCCGTGAAGGGGCTCAACTGTGACACGGTGACGCAGGTCAAGGAGAAGCTGCTAGACGCCGTGTACAAGGGGGTGCCCTACTCCCAGCGGCCCAAGGCTGGGGACATGGACCTCGGTGAGCAGGCGGGCCTCCTGCCAGCCACGTGGTGGTCAGTGGGTTCTGGGCAGGGGCCCTGGGTGCGCCCAGGTGGGGGAGGGGGAGGTGGCTCCAGGATCCCCAGGCCAGGCATTGGGGGGAGGGGTCTGGGCAGGGCCTAGGTCCACCTGGATGACTGGTGGGGACACCGAGGGGCCTTGTGGGGGCAGGTTCTCCTGGCCACAGCGGAGACCTCTGGCTTGGGCTGGGTCAGGGGGAGCCTTGGAGGGCCACAGGAGGGTTGGGGTATGGGGTTCTGGGGACCCACAGCAGATGTGGCCAGAACAGCTGGGGCAGGGCCACCATGGGGGAGGGGCCTGGGGACGGGGTCCCCAAGGGCAGAGATCTCCGGCTGGGAGTGGCTGGGAGCTGCCCACATAGTGGGACCCAGGGGGGACCTCACCCCTCGATTATTCTGGTATTTAAGGCCCTTCACCCAGAGCCCTGCAAGCCTCTGCCCCTCCCCACAGTCCTGTCCCCAGCCCCGAGCCGAGGGGCTGCGTAGGGAGGGACCTAGACCCCGAGTCCCGCCGCCCTCCAGCGCCCTGTTCTTGCAGAGTGGCGCCAGGGTCGCATGGCCCGCATCATCCTGCAGGACGAGGACGTCACCACCAAGATCGACAATGACTGGAAGAGGCTGAACACGCTGGCCCACTACCAGGTGCCTGTCTGCCCCTGTCACCGCTTCCCTCGGGTGCCAGGGAAGGACCCCCGGCTGCCAGATGACCAGCCCGGGGCGGAGGAAAGGAGGCCAAGTCCCTTGTGTGGACGGTCCCAGGCCCCCCACGGCCCCTGGGGTCCTCCCCATATCTCTGAAACTGTCCCGATGAGGAAACTGATGTTCAGAGTGGTAAGGTGACAGGAGCAGGGGTGTCACTCAGGTCCCCAGCAGGGTGTCTAGTCTCCTGGGGACTCATTGTAGCCCCTTCTTTCTGCCCACAGGTGACAGACGGGTCCTCAGTGGCGCTGGTGCCCAAGCAGACCTCGGCCTACAACATCTCCAACTCCTCCACCTTCACCAAGTCCCTCAGCAGATACGGTGAGGGGGGGCCTGGGCCTGGGAGGACACCTCCCCGGGCCCTGCTACGTGGAGGGGACGTCGTCACCCTTGGCCTTTCTCTTAAGTCCTGGAGGCTGTGCCCCTTCCCCAACTGCGTGTCCCCAAGTGCATTCAGCTGCGTCTCGTGCGTGATCGGCCATGCCCAGCGGCCAGGGAGGCAGGGGCGATGTCCCCGGCTCTTGGATGGGGGGACAGCTGTGGCAGGCCGTGGGGAGTGGCACAGGGCTCAGGGCTCCGCCTGCTGACAGGCCTGGTCCCCGCAGAGAGCATGCTGCGCACGGCCAGCAGCCCCGACAGCCTGCGCTCGCGCACGCCCATGATCACGCCCGACCTGGAGAGCGGCACCAAGCTGTGGCACCTGGTGAAGAACCACGACCACCTGGACCAGCGCGAGGGCGACCGGGGCAGCAAGATGGTCTCGGAGATCTACCTGACGCGGCTGCTGGCCACCAAGGTGGGTTTGGCGGGCGGGCGGGCGTGGGGCCCCAGCCTGAGGCCAGCGCGCTCAGAGCCAGCCTGTCCTCCCCGGGGCGGCAGCGGCGGGCGCTGAGCTCTGGGTGGCCGTCCCTCCCCTGCAGGGCACGCTGCAGAAGTTCGTGGACGACCTGTTCGAGACCATCTTCAGCACGGCGCACCGGGGCTCGGCGCTGCCGCTGGCCATCAAGTACATGTTCGACTTCCTGGACGAGCAGGCGGACAAGCACCAGATCCACGACGCCGACGTGCGCCACACCTGGA